TAATTTTAATCCAATGAACCACGCAAATAACTCAAAAAAGGATGCTAATTTAAACATTCAAACGCATATGAAATTAAAATCAAAAAAAGAAATAAATAAAACTTTCGGATATAATTAAAATTTTGTACTAGTAATTAACAAACAGTAATTTAAAAAAAAAATAAACAATAGCTAAAAATTGAGTACAAAATAAACAAAACTTATAATAAATGTAATAAATAAATAAAAAACCATTATAGTAAATAAAAACTTATAATAAATAAATAAAACAATAAAAATTGAGTACAAAAGTTTATTATAATAAATACTATATTAGACATTGTACATATACATACTTTGCTTACTGATATGATATCAATCATAAATAATAATTTGTTATCAGCAAATCACTTCAACTGCTCTTATCAATAACAACAATATCAAAATTAACTGTTATTTTCAAACTGCTTCACTCTCTCTGTCTCTCTTTCTCTCCCTCCCTTTCTCCCTCTCTCTCTCTCTTTCTCTTGTTACAAATATAAATACTTTAGATTAAGTATGTAAGGTAAGGTAAACAAATGCAATTTTGCTTGTTGAACAACAACTAGTAGTTAAACAAATAAACGACATAAAATAAAATTTAATTTTGATAAAACTTGAAAATTTTTCATTTAAATAAAAATAAATCGTAAAAACGTATTTACAATTAATAAAATAATTAAATAATATTATTGCAATTTTAATCAATGCATTCTTAATGTGTATTTAATTACTGTTTACATAATAAAAGTAATAAATTTTGATGAAATTTAGCAAATCGAAAAAAAGTATTAAATGAACAAACAAAATTCATTTGATCAATATTATCAATCAATGATTGTTGATTTTATCAGTTCAACTTTATCAGTATTAATAGTATTATAGTATCAAATTAAGATCAAAGGAAAATATGATAATTCTTTAATATAACATTCAAATATTGATATGATCTGATAAGATGATCAATTTATCACTGTAACAAATTAGAATTATTCTCATATTTCATAAATATAATAATATATTTGCTCAAAATTTAGTATCATTTAAATTAAAATTAAAGAATTGCACATTTTCTTAAGTGTAACAAAATCAGGTTACATGCTATTGTATTTCAGGCCACTCTATTATTTCAGGCTATATTTCAGGCTACTCTATTAAATAAATAAATAAACCATAGGCTTGCATACATTTATGATAAATTAATCATTCTTATCATTTTGAAATTTTATTTTAAATTGACAACAAATACATTTTATTTCAATGTAATTTAAATTATTAAATGAAGCATTAATAGATAATAGTAAAATTTTGAAAAGGCAAAAAAAAACTTTGTGATAATTATTATTTTCAGAATGAATCTGTTATATAAAAGTTTCCTAATTAATAAAAATTAATTAAATTATTTATATTTGTTTAATTTATTTGTTAATTATAATTATGAATGATAATAGTGGTGAATAATGATATTTTCTAGATGATAAATAATAAATTAATGCTAAAATTTTCTATCATTTTCATCTATTTGTTACAGAGAGAGTATGAGAGAGAGAGAGGGAGAGAAGGAAAGACAGAGAGAGAGGGAGGGAGGAAAAAAACATTAATAAAAGTACGAATTGGTCAAATGAATATATTTCATTTTATTAATTTAGTACATTTAAATATTTTATTAATTGTAAATTAAAAATGAGTTACATACTATTTTATTAATTTAATATATTTAAATATTTTATTATTTTATTAATTAATATATTATTATTTCATTAATTTATTATATTTAAATATTTTATTATTTTATTAATTTAATAATTAACATATTATAAGACTATTTAAATGGTATATTTGAATGAAATATTAAAATCATTTGAAAATATTGCTTAATTTTATGGATATTAATATTCTGGTTTAAGAGACAGGGTGAGAGAGAGAGAGAGAGAAGGAGGGAGAGAGAGAGGGAAGGGACGAAGGAATGTAAGAAAGATAAAATGAAGGGGAAGTGAAAAAAAAATGAAAAAAGAACAAATTTGAAAATGAAAATGTTTCGTTACACTAAAAGACATTCATTCCATTCATTTATTTATTTACTTGTTTATTTATTTGTTTATTTGTTTATTTTATAAATTGATAGAGAAAAAAAGAAAATTTGAAGAAAAGAATGAAATAATATTATTTGACGGATACGTAACGATCATACCGATTTGTTGTTGACATTTTATCGTTGAATGAACGGAATATTATTTAGTGCTAATCAATGAATGCTAAAGATGTCTTTCCCTTTCTCTCTCTCTCTCCCTCTCTCTCTCTCTCTCTCTCTCTTTGATCGTCTTTAAAAGATAACAAAAATTATTCAAAAAAAAAGTTATTTTCTTAATAAATAAAACAAATGTTTTTTCTTTGCTATTAAATCTTTCTAATAAATAAAATCATCAAATTTCTTTTTTTTTTTTTTTTTTTTTGCATAAAATTAAAAATAATTAAATAAATTAAAATGCTTATTTATTTTTACTTTAATTTTTAATAATTTTATTTACTTACTTTTTTTAACAATAAATAATCGAAAAAAAAAAATTTCTTTTTCTTCACATTAATTTTTCAAATTAAATAAAATTAGGAACAAAGAAAGGAAGAGAAAAGAAAAGAAAAGCAAAAAAAGAAGCAAAAAAGCAAAATCAAAATAAAAAAAATCATAATGAAATGGATGCTTTTTAGCATAAAAAGAGAAAGAGAGAGAGAGAGAGAGAGGGGAAGAGAGCAAGGGAGAGAGAGAGAGAGAGAGAGAGGGACAAAATCAATAGAAGTATTTGCTATCATTGACAATTTCACAATTTACTAAGATATTTTTTTATTTTCTGCATAAATAAGTAATCTTTTTTTCTCCATTCATAACGTAAATTAATAAATTAATTATTAAAATGATAACTTTAGAAATAAATAAATAAATATAATTTTATTTACTTATTTTTTTAACAATAAATAATCGAAAAAAAAAAAAAATATAGAAAGAAAATGAATTATACTTCTCTTTTTTTGCATTAATAATGAAAATTAATTATTAAAATGATAACTTTAGAAATAAATAAATATAATTTAAATATAGAAAGAAAATGAATTATACCTCTCTTTTTTTGCATTAATAATGAAAATTAATTATTAAAATGATATTATAACTTTACAAATAAGTAAATAATATAATTTAAATATAGAAAGAAAATGAATTAATCAATTTATTCCTTAACTTTGAAGTAAAAAAAAAAAAAAAAAAAAAGTAAGTAAAGCTAAAGAAATGACCACAACTAGCAATAAACAACTGTCCATTTGGACTAATTTAAGCTAAATCTGAATGAATAATTCATATCGGCGCCAAAAAAAGAAAAAAAAAAGTAATAAAAAAACTAAAAAAAGCAAAAAAAAAAAAAAGAAAAGAAAAGGAAAGTGAAGGAAAGGAACAGAGAAGAAAATATACCAACAAAATATGTTTAACAAAAAGAAAATTGATGGATGATGGCACCAATTGATGATAAATTTACAACATACATTTTAGTAGTATCAATGAATTCATTCTTTTTGCTTTTTTGCTCATTTCAAATTTTAACAATGAAATTTTAATTGAAAATAAACGTTTCTTTTTCTTTCTCCGAAAAATTTCTTCGTTTTTTAATTGATTAATTTTTAAATCGATATATATTGCAAATTTTATTAGACTTTATTTTTTTTTTCCCGCAACTTTAATTTAATTGATTATTCATTCTATAATGGTTTGTAATTTTATTCCTAATATTTTTATAATTAGGAATGTTTTTTACTCTTTTTTTTTTTTTGTTAGTTGATATTATTTCATCGATTATTTATTTCATTTCCTTATGAAAATGTCTTCTTTTTTTTTCAATTAATTAAGAATGTATGTTTATGATAGTTCAATGGATTCTTCTTGATTTTATCAAAATTATCTTTCAACAATTTAGCATTAATCAATAAACTTATAAATTAAAACATTTTACTCATTTGAAATATAATTAGCAAATTTTGAGAATACAAAATGCATACACTAATGTTTAACATTACACAATTCGGTCAACTAAAAGTATTTCTCTAAAAATTGTCAAATATACCACTCCTCTCTCTCTCTCTCTCCCTTCTATAAAATTCAACTGGTAGTTGTATTTATACTTTTATCTTTAACTAATCTGAACTAATGTATGCTTTACAATTGTTTGATTTCTATTACGATAAACGAAATAGCCCTTTTCCAAGAAATAAAAATGGTACAAGTAAATAACACAACTTCCAATCTCTTCAAATAATTTTGGTAAACATTAAAATTTAACTTAGAAATTTTCATTTCTGTATATTTTAGATTGGTTATTTACAACAACTTTTTTTTTCATGCAGAAATATAAACCCAGAAACTAAAAATTTATCCTGGCATTTTTTTTCTTAAATCATAAGATAAACAAAATACTAACAAACAATAATTCATTTAAGAACTTAGAGTCTTCAATGGATATCAAATCTTCAAATTCATTAGCACCCTACATTATGCTATATTCACTGGTCAACGAGAGAGAGGTAGGAGGCAAATTTTGAAAAAAAAAGTAGAAGATACAGTAATACTTAAAAACTACGTTGTTTTATGACCCGTATAATTAATTAAAATTCTTAGTAATAAAAAAAAAAAAAAAAAAAAAAAACTAAAAATCTAATTAGTGAGCAGACTAAGGGAATAGTTAGAGCACTAACGTGTCGCGTTCCTTTCAGGAAGCAATATATTTTTAGTTTAAATTTACGCTACTCTCTTAAAAGTAATATATCATCGATGGACTATATACTTCTAATGAAATACTAAATGTTACTAATAATTATATTTAAGACCCGTTTTCTTAAATATTTGCATGAAAAAGCAATAACAATAAAAAAAAATCAACAAGAATGAACAGACTGGTGCAAAAACAAATGAAACAAGAAGAGATGCTTCAATTCTTTAAAATTTAGCGACCTCTTCCAGCACTACCTCGTCCAGAAAATCGTTTTTTGGATTTTTGTGGTGGTCCAACTAATCGCGCTATTTTTAAGGTTCCCAAACGAACACCTTCGGCTGCCGTTGCCGTGCTTACGCTAAAATAAGAAATATCACGTAATTGATTCTGATTTGACAAATTTTAAAATTACATTTATCATTAATCATTACTACTTTTTCACAAACTAACAGTAAGACTTACTTGCAACCAAGTGCAGTTGCCATTTTGATAATCTTAGGTTCAGCAGTTCCAAGCTCTTTAGCCCACGGAGTGATTGGTAAACTTATATTTTCATCTATAAATATCTTAGATATTTATTCAATGGTGAAAGAAAAGTAGAAAACGTTTGCTTATCAATTTTAAAAAAAAAAAAAAAGAAAAGAAAAAACACTGACAAAGTGTATTGTTTGGATATTAGATCAAACGAATTTTTTGGGTGCTTAAAAAAGAAAGCAATTGCAAATTATACTCGATTTTGTATAATTCTATTAAAAACGATTTGCTAATAATCTCTTTTTTAATATTAATATTAATGATCCTTTTTTATAGCCATAAAACCCAATAATAATAAATGTTTAACGGTAAGAACAAAAATCTCTATTGGATATGGAACTACGATCACATGCATCACTAAAAATGATCAATATAAAGATCAAGAGTTAACTTACAGTCTAATATAATCGCCAGGCATAAAATATGCGCCAATAATCTATCTTTTACCATTAAATTAATTGGTAACTTTCGTTTACTTCTGCTATTTTCGCAAACAAATTCACCAGCTGTAATGAATTAAAATTAAAATTGAACAAGTTCGAAAATGAAAGCAAGAAGATATCATTTAAAAAAAAAAAAAACACATCCAGAATAAAATTTTGATCCATATCTTTGAAGATTAAATTTTCTGTAAACTAAAGAAACAAATTAATGGAACACAAACTTACGTTTTTTATAAAAATATCATCCTAATGAAAATTTTTATCCTTACTTCTTTAAGTTTTATATTTTTTTAACTTTTTCTTAAACTTTACTTTCTTTTTTTTAAAGAAACATCACTCAATTTCTCTTTTTTTAAACTTCTAGTTCGTTTTCCTTTCCTACACAATATAGATTTACTTTACATTTCATACAAAACAAAACAACTAATTGTCATTTCATCAGAAGCAGAGCTGAAAGGATAAAACATACGGAGAAAAAGTTCACGAATTTTAGAAAGTACTATCATTGGGTACTGCAATTGTATCCACTCTGTTTGCAATAAAAAACGACGTTTTGCCAAAATCTACAAAATAACAATTTTCAAACTTCAAAAAATAAGAAACAAAAAGAAAAAAGAAAAAAAACCAAAAATTTAAAGCACAAAATAAAAGAAAAAATACATATATGTAAATATTTACCTTGTAACAATGTATCATAGCATCCAAGAGCAATAAAAAACATGTTCGTTCAGTATTTATACTAATGTTGCCAATAAGATTACATACGAGAGGCGACAACCCTAAAACACAATATAATGGAATAATTTGATTTATAGCATTATTTGCAACTAAAAAAAAGATGCGCAGTTCCAGATGGATACGTATTATCTTTTTTTATGGATAAATTGCAGTATCACAAACAATAAACAAACAAAAAGAACACAATAAAATTGTTTCAGCAGACAATGCTACCAAAAACGCTATTTATCTCATTTTTTCGCTGATTATAAATGAAATGATACGAGCTATTAAAAGAAAACAAAAAAAAAAAAAAAAAAAGCATTAAAGAAAACAAAAACAGAAAAATATGGAGATTATGGAGATTTTTTCAATGTTGCGTAAAGAAAAATAAAATTTTTTGCAGCATAAAATGGAATATGAGTTTTTGCAGTAGATATTGAATAGCAGCATCGAAAGATTCAGATTTTATAAGGCAGTAAAATAAATTTTGCAAAGACCGCAAAGATGATAAGTAGATACAAGTAAAAAAAAAAAAAACTTCTAACCACTTGCGATTAGATTTTTCCTTGAGTCATTCAGACGATCAAATGCTTCAGATTTGAATGTAATAATTTCCGCATCCGACAAAAAATTTGAAAACAAATATATTTCTCGTGGCGATTTTCCATCCATATTTGCTTTCGGTAACACCGAACTCTCAGCCTGTACAAAATTTAAAAATTAAATGATTTACCAAAGTTGAAATGACGTACAATACACAACATATGCAACTCTTCATTAAATATCAGCTTGTAATATTTTCAAATGATGCAAAAAATTTCGTTCTTTCATATTCAATCTCACATTTATAAAATGAAACAAAGATCTGAATATCTCTTCTATGCAATAAAAAATTTTCACCGTCTTCAGCAAAGAAATTTCATGTTTATTTGTTTCATCTTCCTTTTTCATATTCGCAGACGAAAATGCCGAACTAAGCATAACTGACAGCGTCTCCTTAAAAATTTATTAATGTTTTGAAAGTTTAAGAGAAATGAAATGTTTGTTTCTGCAAAAAAAGGATTAGCAATTTTGAATCCATATATATATTATATATATATAATACATCATTGATTTGTCGGCGTTTTGCAGCATCTTGCATTTTAATCCTTTTCACTGATCCAAAATCATCTGTTAATGCACGCCGTTTGTCAGCCCATGATTCTCTGCTAATACTATTATCGATGGAATAATCGATTTTCCTTTTGTAACTGAAATTGTTCCAGTTACAAACTTCGAATTATTTTAAAGAAAATAATCAAATATTTGTAACTTTCAAAAGCTGAGCAATAATGAAAACAGACCTAGAATCTAATAAGGTTTGGAAATCCGATACTGAAACATTTTCGAAACAAATCAGTTTAGTAGGAAAATAATCTGTCTTTCCCGTTTGTCTATTAACTACTGCAATCGCATAATCACATCCTTCATTTTCCGAGCATTCTTCACGTCCCAAACGAACAACTTTTTCTGATGCTGGACCCTGAAAACGGTTATTATTCTTTCAAACAACATTTCTTTATTTAAATTATTTTTTACATTGCATAAACGATTGAAAATAAAAATATATTTGTATATTTTCCAACTTGATTAATATTACTACATTTTCAATGTACTGTTTACGTATTACTGAAATATTAACGCACATTAAGCAGTGCTATTTCGGACCTTGCAATAGCTATAACATAAGATCTATCCCTTTTAAAAAATCGATGAACTATTTTACTAGAAACCAGATGAATGGCTAAATAGTTCAGATTAACAATTTCAATGAATAACTGAAAATGAGAAGAAATTCGAAGCCAACTACTGAATTCTTAGCAGTGTAGACATATCCGGCTGTGCCATTTGCTAATTTGTGACGTTGAAATATTAATGATTGAACATCTGCTGCCATATTACTTGTTAATCGAGCAACAACGCCTGCTGTCTGAAATTTTTATTACAAGTTTTTTTTTTTTTTTTTTTTCATAATTTTCATAAAACTCCTGAATGATTAAATAAAAATTACATGTTAAAGCTATATTAAAAAATCCGACATTTCTTACTTTAATAGTTTTGATATCATAAATTTTCGTATTCGTTTATAAGCAGATAATTCTCATAACTCTTTCTCATCTATTACTAGCTAGAAGATATGAAAAGTATAGAAGAACATGTAATAAAATTATTCCAAAAAAAAAAAAAAAAAAGATTTCATTTATTTTCTTCTCAGCATTTAATTTCGAACGTTGCCTAAAGTTTTTTAAATTACTTTTTACATCTTAGTAAACGATTTCATTTATTTTCTTCCAATATATGATGGTTATTTCAATCAAATTAAAAATTTTAACTAAGTAAAAAATGATTCCATGAGAAAATACCTTAGTGATGAGCGATGTTTCTCGTGTAGTATCCTTCATTTCTGATTTCACAGTACAATCCATTTTTATTTCTTTTATTACATTTGACATATCACAGCTGAACTGAAATATCCTGAAGAAATAGCAGGAAATTAATTTATCCTAATAATATCCCTTTTATACCTCAAAAATCACCGATAAATCTCTGAAAATTAACAAATAAAACACGGCCCGTAAAAAAGGCGTAGTGAGATATAAGATTGCAATGGAATCAATGATTGAAAGTTATTTTAATGCCAGAAGCTAAGTTAGCCTTAATTTTTAGTTATTTAAATTTCTCTAAAAAGTAAAAATTTTTCAAATGTATTTTAAAATTAGCTTAAAGGAAAAAAAAATGAAATCATTTTACACTATAATTTCTAGCATTGTTAGTATAACCATTGATGGTTTAAATTTTAGACTATCCATCATACCTGTCAATTATTATCATTGTAAGGTAGAATAGACAACTGTCATTTGTAGTAATTATTGCAAAATGATATGATTTCATTTTTTTTCCTATTTCTGTCTCTTATTTCATTTTGTCTTATTTCAGTTTGTAAAATAAAACGAATGCATTGTAATGATTAGTATACGTACGTACGTATGTATTTACGTATGTACGTGTACGTATATGTATTCTCTTATGTAAATATTTTGATAACTTTACAATTATTTCAAAAGAAAAGAATGATGAAAATTTCGTCTAAGCTCTATTGCATGTTTAGTAGTAGTGAAAGAGTAGCTAAACAAAAATGAAAAGAATATGTTGAAGATAGGATGGCGCAAAAGTAATCGTTAAAAAGCGCTATTTTGTGTAATAATATTAAGAGAGGTAGGAAGAGATAAAATGTGATGGGTAAGAGAAAGAAAATCTAATGAAAATTGAACTTTTTCCTCTTCATTTGTGCATTGATAGCAGTGTTATCGTCAATATTATCATCATTGCTACCATTAGTAGTTATTTCTTGCATCAATGATAATAACAATAATAATTGGGATAAATTTAATTGGTGATAATTTATTGATAATAATGATAACTTTATTCGGGCCAAATTTTGATTATTTTATATCGATAAAAGGGAATAATGTTATTATTTGAAAAATTATTGGCATATAATAATAATAATAATAATAATAATAATAATAATAATAATAATAATAATGATAATAATAACAATAATAATATTAATAATAATGATACAATAAACAGCAACAAAAACTACGACTACGATTACGATTACGACGACAACAGTAGCACTAACAACAACAACAACAATAACAATAACAACAGCGACAACAATAAGCAATAATGCTTCGCAATAATCGGCGTTCATCACTTGTTGGCTCACAACATTCCATACCATCCAGGCGATCATCGTGTAATTTAAAGGATGGTGAACGAATTCAAATTGCTGAAGCACAGGTAATATTTTATTTGATATTTGTTAGAAAGATGAGAAATAATAAGTGAGAAATTTGAAATTAAAATTGAATTAATAGAATATAAATTAAATAAATTAAAAAGTAATTTAAATGAATGAAAATAAAATTGAAAGAAACAAATGATTGAAATTTATAAAATGAAATAATAAAATAATCAGTTAATCGTCATGAAAATTATAATTTACAAAAACAATACAAAGAAAACAAAAAAAAGTAAACAAAACTTTTATGTTAAAATTTTAAAATTTACTGTTTACATATTTGTGATAATTTTAGGGATAAAAATCATAGTAAAATTTTTATTGTTTTCTTGTTTATGCAATGAAAGTAAATTGATATTTTTGAATATAAATAAATCTTTTTTTTTTTTTTTTTCATATCAAAAACTAGATTTTTTTTTTTTTTTTTTGTAACTTCTAATATTGAAGTATGATTGATATTAGAAGTAATGCTGAAATGTTTTTCAAGAATACTTCTATTTGTAAAGATATACTTATCTTCTTCCTATCAAATAATATTGCACTATTTTTTTTTTTTATTGAATAAAAGTATTAAGTATAGATCATCTAAAATTTGAAATTTAATCTCAATTAAAAAAAAAAAAAAAAAAGAAAGAAAATGCAAAATCTTTTGTATACAATAATAGAAGGAATAATTTTTGTATCTTTTTCCTTTTTATTCAGTTTGTAAAATTCATAATTAAATAATTTTCAACTTCATAAAATATTCATTCCATCTTATACTAAAAGAAATATTAGCAATTTATAGTATTATTACCTATTTCTAGCTATTTTTAACTTTTTTTTTTTAAAAAAAGGAGGAGTAGCATGCTAAAAATATTGAAATAAGAAAAAAAAAAAAAACAATTTTAAAATGTTTTAAATCATTTCTTAACACATATTTTTCTTAAATAATGCATTTAAGATATTCATTCTATCATTTTGATGTTGTCTTTTTTTTTGCTGTAATTTCAATCTGTGTATTTTATATTATTTATTTATTTAAATATTAATATTTCACATTTCAAAACAACGTGACACACTGTAGCATATGTTTAATAAAACGATAAATTAAATAAAATTGTTTATGAAGAGAGAAAATTTACATTTATTTTCAGATATTTTTATAGTTTACAATAAACTGAAAAAAAATTAAAAATTTTTTCTCTCCTTTCTTTCACTTTTCTTTTTTTTTAAAAAAAAGAAAAAGTAAAAAAATTACTTTAAATTATTCATAAAATATTAATGTTATTATTTAATAATAATTTTTAATTTAGAAAAAACGAAATTTTTCACCACAATTATTAATATCGATACTTTGTGGTGGACCATTTCTTCTTTATTTGCACATTTATGCGATAACTAATTGTGATGCATCATTTCTTCAGGTAAATTTTATACAAACATTCGATATTAAAATTGTTTTAAAAAAAAATAAATTCTTTTCTTAAATTTTAAGAATTTTTATTTAATACATAAATGTTCTTTTTTTTTTTCAGTTTCTTCAAATGTTATGGTCAGAAAATGGTGTACTTTATCAAATTTTTCCATCACCATTTTCATCGGTGCCTTGGAAAATTCTTGTTTTTATTACTCTTTTACAACTTATCTTTCATCTTGTTTTACCCAAAGATTTTGTTACAGTTGTCAATAGCATGGGTAAAAATTTTGCTTATCAGTTTATCAATGTTTGTATGTAGATAAAATGTTAGCTATTTATTTTGATCTTTTTTTTTTTAAAAAAAGTAAAAAGAATTATATAAAAACTATTTGAGTTATTTTTGCCTATGCAAGAAAAATGTTAATTCTAAATTTTATTTACTTTAATCAAAAGTTTTTTAGTTCTAATTTCAGGAGAACGAGAATGTCATCCGGTAAATTCGTTTCATTCATGTCTTCTAATTGTGCTATTATTCATCTTTGGCTCATCGCTAGGCTTTTATAAAGCTTCAATCATTTATATAAATTGGACTCAAACTTTATCATTGTTAAATTTAATATCCATAATTATGGTTCTGTTTTTATATATGCGACAACGAAATGATGATTTTACTACTTGTAAGATATGTATATAAAGTTTTGAAGATATGAGCAAATAGAACAGATTTTAATGAAATAATCAAAAATCACTGATTGAAATGATTTAAGGTGCTCATTTCAGTTCACATAAAGATTTAATAAGTTATGAAAATGTAAACAAGGTGCTAATTAACTTAAAAAAAAAAAATGAAACTTCAAATTTAGTCTTTTCAAAAATTTCTACTTTTCAGTTCAAATATTATCAAAAAATAAAAATGAAACTAATATAGGAAGTTTTAAATTTAATCTTTTCAATTTTTAGTCTTATATTTAGTCTTATCCCTTTAGTCTTACTTTTCCATTCAAATATATTTAGAATATAATTCATAATTATGGTTTTTTAAATAATATTTGTTGAGTTTTCAGACAAGAAATGAAGTTTAAAAATAAATAGTAATAAAAATTATTTGAAATTAATCATGTTTTAGCTAATATTATCAATGGTTTGTTTTTTGGCACTGATTTAACACCAATGATTTATTCAATTGATCTCAAACACTTTATCACATATAGAATTTCTCGAACTTTATGGCCATTATATATCATTTCATCCATTTACTACAATTATTCATTTTATGGACGAATCAATAGTAAATATTTTAGATTATTATTTCAATTTCAAATTTTTATTTCCATTTATTAAAAATTTGCAAATATTAATATTTGAATATTAAACATAATTACTAATGATTTTATTGCAATTTGAATCAGTGCTAAATAAAATATTAATTTTTATTTAAGTAACTAATTACTAATCTTTGTTCTATGAAAATTGCACAATTGCAATTTGCAACTTACAGCATATGCTGCATTTAAATTAACTAAATAATTTAATAAATTAATTTGCAATTCATATTTCTAATTAATTTATTCACATTAGATTTAATTCAAAAATTTATATCCATTTTTTTTAATTTCATTTTTTCATTTTAGCAATTTTTAATGAATCCTTTTTGTTTTTGCAGATAATTTACTCTCGTGCGCAATTTTGCAGCTTATTTATATTGGTAAAACACATTGGTATGAGCATTTACAATACACTCAACTGGATGCTCAAAATAAGAAAGCAGGTTTGTTAAAATGTTTTCCGGTTTTCCGGACAATAAATAATATTAAAAAAAAAATTCATGATGAATAATATAATGTTAATATATGTACTGAATTTTGATCACTTTTTGTTTAATCTTTTTCTTTTACATAAACAAATTTCTAAAAATAATGAAATAACTAGGAAAAAGTTTTTCTTTCCTTTTTTTTACAAAGAAAAACTAAAGAAGTAAACAGCAGAAATTTGAATAATGAGAAAATAAAATGATAAAATGATAAGATTTTTCTGATAAAAATATTGAATAGCTAATTAATTAATCATTTAATTAATTAATTATATGTGAAGATATTATAAAAATATTGTATAAAATGCAAAATTATTTATTTCAATACTTGAAAAAAAAAAAAAAAAAAAACGAAGAAATAATTCACATAATCAAAGCAGTTTGACTTTAAAAAAAAATCTTTAAATACGAGAATGGGTGATAAAAACATCAATTCGTAAACATTTATCAATACCATTTGTTGAATTCTCCTAAACTCATCAAAAGTTCATTGTTATTTTGATGCTCCACTAAAATAAATCAAAACTGAGAGAAAAAAAAGGAGCACTGAGGAGGAAAATAAAAATACTTTTTTAATCATTTAAAAGAAATAATCAAATTTTAAAGTTTCACTTTGAAGAACTAAGTTTTATTTTTTTCAATTCATTTTATAAGCAATATTTGCTATATTCTCAAATTAGCAAAAAAAAAAAACATAAAATAACTTTAGTCTTTTTAAGATTCTCGTGCATTACAATAATTAGTTTATTTCATTTTCAGTTGTCTGTAATTTGTGATATTTAACCATAAAGTTATCATATCATATAGTATTTTTATCTTCCATTTTTATTATCTTTATCAAAAATTCTTAAATCTTTTTTTTTCTTAATTTTAAGAAACTCAATTCTAAGTATATTTGAAAATAATAAAGAAATTGTTATAACGGTTTGTTAGATTTGTTATTAAAGATTTGATTTTAAGGATTTAAAGATTTGAATGTCTATTAAAGATTTGATTGATATTGTGCTAAATTTTTAGAAAACTTTAATTTAATTATTTAATAATTTAAAAAAATAGAAACAAGAACTCAATGGATGGCTATTCTATAAAAATTTTCTTTTTCATTTTTCATTTTTTCTATTTAAACTATTATAATAGATAATTTAAACTATTGCAAATGTTAAATTTTAATTTCTATTTCAATATGCTACGATAGTTTTGGTGTTTTTTTCACCTGACCAATAGATAGGACATTTAGAGATAGAAATTTAAATTTTGAAAAAAGAAAAAAAACAAAGGTATAAAATGTGGGTTGAAATGAGGAAATTTTTACTAGGCGGTGGCCTCTTTGTAGCTAAAAAAAAACGATAAAAAAAAAGGAAACAGGTGCAAGATGAAATACGAAAGTTAATTTTGAATCATTTGCTTTCAAATGTTCCCAATTTTACATTTTGGAAATTTAAGAAAACAAAAAAAAAAAAACTTTTGAAATTTTATAAGCTACTTAAATATGACCAATTGCTAAGTTTTTCTTTTCTTTCTTTTTTTTTTCTTTTTTTTTCTTTTTTTTTGTTTTAAATTTTTGATTGATTCATTGTTTGGCATTTTTCTTTTGTATAGTTGTTTTTTATCAGTTTTTTTTTTTTTGATAAATCAATTTTTCAAATAATTATTTATTACAAATGTAATGAAAGCAATTTAGTCAATAATTTGTAATTGAAAAAAAATTTTTGAATTAAATTCGTTTCATTTTTCTAGTAGCTGATAAGATTATGGTAAAATGATATAAACGGCTTATCATTATCATAATTTTTTTTTTTTTTTTATTTAAGAAAAATTTTTTTAAGGATTTTTTTACATTTGGCGAACACTTGTGCTTTATCCAGCATTCTATGCGACACCAATAACAGTGCTTGCACAGGGAAAGATTATATTACCTTTACCAGTTAGTGTGACAGTATTTTTTATTGGTGTCATCTCGATGTATATTACGGTTGACAGTGACTGGCAACGTACACAATTTAGACTTGCTAATGGAAATATGAAAATATGGGGTGAAGATCCATTTTTTATTACTGCCAAATATCGACGTAACAATGGTGAAATTGCTTCAAATTTACTTTTAGGTAAGTAAAGAATTTAAATTAGTCAACAAAAAAAAAAAAAAAAAAAAAAAAATTAAATTAAATATCTGATTATTCAGTCAGTATTATATAATTTTATTAATTTATATGTTTTTTTTTTTTTTTTTTATCAATTAAACATATTTGTGTTACTTTGTACAAACATTTTAATTTTTTTATTCCTTTTTTTCTTACAAGATTTTGTTTTTTGTAAAAGTAATTCAACTTTTTTTTTTTTTTTTTTTTTTTTTGAAAAACAAAGGAAAGGAAAGATGAAAAATTCGAAATATTTTTAGCTGAGCAAGGAATCTAAATTAGTCAAGACAAAAAAACAAAAAGACAAATTGAATATCTGATATTGAATATTGTATAATTTTATTAATTTGTGTTTTTTATCAGTTGAACATATTTTAAACATGCTTTTATTTACTTTTTATAAACAATTTAATTTTTTTTTCTTTACAAAATTTTCTTTTTGTAAAAGCAATTCGACTTTTCCTGAATTTTATGAGTGAAAAAGAAAAACAAAGGAAATGGAAAGATGAAAAGTTTGTAAATAATTTAACATTAATAATTTTTTTATTCAAAACTTTATTTAGGAAGTGGTTGGTGGGGATTATGTCGACATCCAAATTATTTCTGTGAATGGCTTACATTTGCATGTTGGACAATTTTACAAGGGACAAATGCATTCTTTACCTGTTTTCCACTTTTATTTCTAACATGTCATTTGTATTTACGATTAAAACATGATGAATTGAGGTAAATTTTTGAAATTTAAAAAAAAAATTCAATTTTTTTCTTGAAATGTTTAAATTTAAATGTTAATAAAAATAACTTTATTATATACATTTCAATTTATTATAGTATGGTAGTACTTTTCTAAAGTAATGCCAAGATATAACTTTTTTTTTTTCTATTTATGTAAAAAATGACTATTACTAAGCTAAATGGAAAATAAATCAAAACTTATATTTGTTTTATTCTCAAAAAAAGAGAAATCGAAATTTCATTAAAAAATTGAGATTTAAAGAAGGCAAAGCTTTAAATTAATGTGTTAGAAGTTTATGATGAAAGATTAGAAAAAAAAGAAATCAATAATTTCTGAAGTTTTTAAAAAAAAAATTTCTTTTTTTTTAGATGTCTGGCAAAATATGGACCATATTGGTTGCAGTATCGAAATCGAGTGAAATGTCTGCTTATTCCTTCACTATTTTAAATTGAAGATAAATTTTATGCAATTTTTTTTAAAAAAAAAAGAAAGAAAAAACGACATCATTGAAATGAATAAGAAAGAAAAATTTTATTTGAATTTAATTGCTTATTTTTAAATGCATCTGAGCACATTGATTTACTTCTTTTTCTTTTCGAAGGAAAAAATTAAATTTTAATCGATTGAATTGCATTACTCAATTTTACTAAAATGCATTGAGTGAAAAATAATTATAGCTCGTGTATTTACGAATAATTTTACAAATTATCACTTGTTTTAATGAATGGAATAAACAGTTGTGTTTACTTAAAATAAAATTTTATTATTATATCATGAAATTTACATAAAATTTAAAATTCAAAAACCCTTAGAAAATAAGCATCATTTAGCAATGTTGTTTCAATAACTTTCAGAAATTAATTCACATTCATTCATTAATATCGTACTGGTCGACATTCATTGAAAAATTCATCCAAAAGCGCATCCTCATAACTAGGTGGCGGTGAAGTACCATATTGAGTTGGCGGATTTATCGAGTATGTTGGCGGTGATGTACCATTGGTTATCATTAATTCATTCATCTGATTGCTTGATTTAGCTTTGAACAACTCTCTCTTTCGTTGTCGCATACTACGAGCTTCTAGAAGTAACTAATAAACGGGTTCAAAGGTTAACAGTTTAATAATTCGATCATATTTGCATGTGTGAAAAATCATGCATGATATGAAGAACTGTTCGCACTTATCTCATTTAAAGTAATACTGTCGTATTAAACTATGATAACATCAATAAAACTTCAAATTATATTTTTGAACACTTTAAATTAATTTACTTCGTCTATTCTCGATGTCCGAGAATGAGTGAAGCATTTAACTCTTTTTTTTTTCTTCTTTCTCAAACTGATTACATGCCAGAATTTTCGAGAATTTATTCTTTCTTGACAGATGAGGACCGTCTATCATCAAATGATATCTTTATAAATTAAAAAAAAGAAACGAAAGTTTAAATTTTAATCAAAATGTAATTCAAATTTATAAAAGTTTAATATTATTAAATCTAAGAAGTAATTAAAAGTTTTAAATTCAACATTCGATAGTATGTATCATAAGATTATTCATTTTATTGCTATGAAGATATCATTGCATCTAAAAGTAAGTGTAATATTTGTTGAAAATTTTAGTTCAAACAACAAAAGTTTAAATTTTCACCAAATCGCTTTAAACAATTCCCACAACTGATGTGGCAAGAAAAAAAAGAGCAAAACAAATAAACAAACAAACAAAAAAACAGAGAAAGAAAAACAATTGAGTCCATTAGTTTTATGATCAAACAATTTTTCAAATAACTAAAATCTATTGGGAAAATTATAAGAAAGAAAAACGGAAGAAAGAGAGAGAGAGAGAGAGAAAAAAAAAGGAAGCTATTAAAATTTAAAAATTTTTTTTTTTGCTAAAAAATCATATATAATTATTGATTGAGAATGAACGATTTTTTCAACATATTTCATTTAAATGAAACTTATAAAATAGTAATTTTTCGTTTTTAAAGTAAATATAACTTAATGAAACATTTCTATCTTTTTCTCTCTGCCTCTCCCTCTCTCTCTCTCTCTCTTTTTCTTTTTCACTTGTAAAAATCATTAAATTTTTAATACTAATAGCAAAAAAAAAAAGACTAACTTTGTATAGTTCGAAAATTTTTTTCACGTAAACGTGCTGTTATCCGTTGTACCACACGTCGCGTACGTCTCATTTCAACAATTTTATCTAATTCCCATTGTTTACATTTATTTATTCCAATAATCATTGCAATTACCATAGCAATACAAAATAAAATTGTTGGTAGAACAATTGTTGTCACAACATCAGTTGAAGGCACATAGTATGCTTTAGGCATTTGAATACGATGATGCATCGTTTGATTAATTATTCCACTGCTAATGCTCATCACAGTTTATAATTTTTTTTTTTTTAAATTTTTCTTATTTTATTAGCCATTAAATCATTTTTAATTTTCCGTATTTTGTTCAATGTTTACATCTGAGAAAATTCCTGAAAAAGAAAACAAAAAACGGAATCGGAATTATTATAAATCAGATGGAGTTCAAAAAAAAAAAGATATCACAGTTTATAATTTTTTAAAATTTATTGTATTTTATCAGCCATTAAATCATTTTTTTTTTCTATATTTTGTTTATTATTTACATTTGGGAAATTTCCTGAAAGACATAAAGAACCGGAATTATTATAATTATAAAAAAAAAATATATAATTATTATTCAGATAGAGTAAAAAAAAAAATGACACTATAATTGAAAAAGTTTTTTATTTGGAAAAATAAATCAATTTATTATTGATTTCAAAATAAATATTTCATTGAAATAAATGAAATTTTTTTTTTTAAAAAAAAAAAAGATTTAATCTAATTTTTACATTCATATAATTAAATCAAAAATATATAAATAGATACATGAATTAAATCAATGAATTTTAAAAAAAAAATTTTTTTTCTCTCAGATTTAAAATTTCTTTTTTCATTGTTTATTTACAAATTCCTAACTTTTGCCTATTTAATGCATCAATAATAAACAATAAATGCTACTAGAAGATGGTTATGTTGAAAATGTAAAACTAAATTATAACTTTATATAACTCTCTCACTACTTGGCTAACTCTAGGGCCTAGGCTACTAGGTCAACTCTAGAGCTAGCCTACTAGGCCAGTAAAAAAAAAGAAAAGAATCGAAAGCCAAATATAAACTACATTCAATCCTTATTGAAAATTTATATAGATTTAGACACACACACACACAGACATACACATACATACTTCGCTGTCAATTGCATTTGGCCTAGGACAGAATTGAGTCGATATTTGCATGGCTGTCAAACATTCTTACATTCTAATATATATGTATCTCAAATAAGATAACAATTTAATCAATATTTGAAAAAATTTGAATTAATTTTTTTCAGAAAGTAAATTTTTTATTTTTTTTTTAGTTTTTTTTTTTTTTTGTAATAAATTTTAATTTTTCTTCAGAAAAATTAAAATTTAACAATAATAGATAATATTAAAAATCAAATGGAATGGTAACACAACAGATGATAATATTGTGACAAAAAAAAAGTTTGTTTTCTTTTTTAGCAATGAGATGGGAAATGATATATATTTTAAATCATAAATAGATATGATAGGAGGTGATAACATTGTAAATTAATTCATAATTATTTAAATAAACTTTTTTTTTTAAATTACTTAATTTACGTAATAAAATTAAACTAACTTACTTACTTATGGTTGCAAAAATGTGACAACACTTACTTAATTTGGTTGTTGATGCTATGCGCTGCATTTCTTGAATTATAACAAATTTTATATTTGGAAATGTATCACATCTAAAAACTATTATGGGTGGGAATGTTTAGTTGCATATCGAGTCTCTCATTTCAGCTGGCACCGCAATTTCATGAATGGTTTCCTAAACGATTGAGTTGTGGTAGGGAAGGTTCAGGTTTCATTTAAGGTTGCAGGGACTGGCACCATTACCATTTGGTAGGTTGGTTGTTGGGGTTGTGTGTTTATTCGATAACGTATTTGTTAGCAATGTATGATTTTTCACATTGGTCTAAAGATCTCAGTGAATATTATACACTTAGGATCACCCAATGTGATGGTAGCACACATTCATATGTTTTTCATATATCATTCATTTACCATTTAGTTAACTTTTACATGCACTTTAGATAGATCATGATGGTTTCACTTTATTAGACTGAGTTAAGATTAATCGTAGAGGTTGTAGAAATGTGTAATTTAGGTGTAATAGTGCACTCATGTTGTATATGCCTGAGCTTGGCCATATAGTGACATATCATTTCTCAGTGATAATGTTGCAGATTTTTTGATTTCCCTCTGAAAGGAGAGCTATTGTTTCAGTTTCATAGATTGAACATGTGTGAAGTGAAAATTGATTTTCAGTGTTTGACAGATTGAATATATATGAAGTGAATCAAGATCGGAATTTTATTTTCAGGTTCAAATGGGACGTAGGATACGTGTACAGCGTAAAGGACCGGGTGGTATTTTTAAAGCCCATAACAAACACCGGAAGGGAGCAGCTAAGTTACGACCAGTCGATTATGCGGAGCGACATGGTTACATTAAGGGGGTGGTGAAAACCATTATGCATGATCCAGGACGTGGAGCTCCACTTGCACTTGTCGAATTTCGTGATCCTTATCGGTATAAAATTTTGAAGAGTACAATGATTGCCGCCGAGGGGATGCATACTGGACAATTTATTTATTGTGGACGAAAAGGTATCATTTCCTACCTTTTCTTGGGCAAGAATATATAAATATGTTACTGTAGTGAGCGTTACTTGTGCCGACGATCGTTGAGTTTAATAACTCATGGGAAATTGGACTTTATGCATCATATGAAATGTAAAATACTGCTGTTATAGTTGTAACAGGAAATTCGTTTCGTTTCAGCTCAAGTTCAAGTTGGTAACATACTTCCACTTTCCGAATTACCTGAAGGAACTACTGTCTGCAATTTAGAAGAAAAGACTGGTGATCGTGGCCGTCTTGCACGTACCTCAGGTGAGTGAAATGCATCTTTTCTGAAAAGATGTGTATGATCTCAGGAAGACCGGGAAACAAAGACGATTAGATACAGATCCAGATGTGATCCAGAATTGTAGCACTTTGTTTTTAAACCATTTATACAGTTTTATTAGCCTATATACACTTTTGTAGGCAATTATGCCACTGTTGTTGCACACAATCCAGAAACTAAGAAAACTCGTGTTCGTTTGCCTTCTGGCGCAAAGAAAGTCTTGGATTCTTCAAACAGAGCAATGATCGGTATGTTTTAATTTTATGAAATTACTCGTGTATTTTGTCGGAATACTTGTCAGTTGTATTTCGTTCACGCATGTCTGGGCCAAATTTGTGAAAATCTTTGGCATATTAATTTCAATCAGATTTGATTCAGATGTGAAATGTAATGTGAATGTATTGTTTTTGTCCCTTATTTGATACTAAAATTTACTTTTTAATATGTTTAGGTATTGTCGCAGGTGGTGGTAGAACAGACAAACCACTGTTGAAAGCAGGAAATGCATATCACAAATACAAGGCTAAGCGCAACTGTTGGCCAACAGTACGTGGTGTTGCAATGAATCCTGTAGAACATCCTCATGGTGGTGGTAACCACCAACACATTGGTCATCCGTCAACCGTGAAGCGTGGAACAAGTGCTGGACGTAAAGTAGGTCTTATTGCGGCACGCAGAACCGGCAGAATTCGTGGTGGCAAGCCAGAAAAACACGGAAAGGAAGAAACAGTTTAAAACTGAAAATGGCTCACTTTCCTTTTTTTTCATGTCATTATTATTGGTTAACACTCCTTGGAGTGTATTTTATTGTTTTATAAATATCAAAATAAATTTTCTGTTAACACTATTCGTGAGTTCATTATGCATCTTTTAAATATCAGAGCATTACTATGAGAATGGGTGCTTTACGTGAAGTAAAGCATAGTATTATTTTACAGCTTTTAGCAACTTCTCTCAACTTTCCTGTTCATCAGAATATACTCCAATTGATATTGCGATTCATTTTCCAATGTCAGTAAATAATGATATGATTGTATGAATTTTTATTTTATTACATTTTTGAAAGAAACACAGACTAAGTTTCAGCATTCATTTAAGTTTTCTGAAATTTTCATATTACAATGCGTTCACGCATAGCAAAATCTCGATTAATTTTTGAGCTAAAATTCATATAAGTAATTGGTGGTAAAGCAGTTTCATTATACGACCATCGACCATCATCCATTCGATCGATAATTGCCGTACAGCAATAAGGGAATTTTGCGCCATGGTTGATCAATTCTCGAGCAAGGACTGTTCGTGATGGTTCTCGAAATGCACCAATTGCTAAATCTACCGTTGATGCATGTCCAACAATCTATAATTTAAATGGTTCAGAAAAAAGGGATTAATCTCTAGACGATATTATCATATTACTAGTAAATTATAATCTAGCAATTAAGAAATATAATTATCTATTAATTTCCAAAATTTATTTCCTTCATCTAAAAAAAATTTTTTTCCAATTTTGTATTTTCAATTTTAATAATTTCAATAAAATTTACCAAAATTAAAGCACCATCAGTTCGTTCACTCCATTCATTTGTTTTAGCTAATTTTTGTAACAAATTTTGTACACGTTTACTATACATTTCAACTGTTTCATTCATTTGCCAAATCTACAAATTTCAAATTTAATCAACAAACTTACTATTTATTTCATCAACTCAATATTGATAATTTCTCTTATCATTCCCATGATTAACATATATTGATTATTTATTATTATATGTAACAGTAAAAGTTGGATAATTTTGCTTTATTAGCATATTTTTATACATTAATTAGTAATATTTATGATTGTAAAATTATTTTTCAAAAAAGAAAAAACAAATAACAAACAAACTTAAAATTTATGGAAATTTTTATATTAATTTCTTCAAATTATTATCAAAAAATCAATAATCACTTACATTTTCCATTGTTTCAAATGGTACATAATTAATATCAATGTTAAATTTAGCATTGTAAAGTTCTTCAGGTGTTGCAAATTTTGGTTGTCCATTTGGATGAAGATCAGTAAATTCAAAAAGTGTTGGTTCAATGCGAATTTTAATTTCACTTTCTTTTCCCATTCCTTTTAAAACTGATTGTGCTGTTTGTATGCATCGTAATGCTGGTGATGCATAAATGATGTCTGGAAAAAAAAAATTTTTTTTTTTTTTTTTTTTAACAATTTATAAAAGTTTAAAATTAAATTAAATTCCAACTATCAGATTGTTTACAAGAAAGATTAAATTAAATTTCAATTATCAGATTGTTTACAAGAAAGATTAAACTGAATTTAATTTATCAAATTGTATGCAAGAAAGATTACAATTTAGATTGTTTTAAATGCTAATTAATTAATTACCTGAATTTGTTAGTTTGATAATTCATTTAGCAGCTTATTTAATCATTTAAATTTAAATTGATAAAGCTATACATTGTAATATTTATGAGAGAAACAATTTATTTGTTTATAATTTTGAAGTAAATTAAAAATTAAAACTAAGATTAGAAAATTTTTAACATTTCTTTTGACCTTTATCATTAATAACAAACCTGGTGTAGATTTATTAATAAGAAGACCTCTTCCAACCATTTCTGCAAGTACAAAACCCATTTCCGAAATTATCGTATCATCTTCGTAATGCTTGAACGGTCGTTTCAATTCCGGAAGACTGAATGGCTTAAGAGAGAAAAATAATAGCAAACAAATATTTTAACAAATTAATTATTAATAAATCAGGAATGAACAATAAAAACTGCATTATTATTAAGGAAAACTGATTTGACATAGCTAATTTATACCATATTTAAATCAAAGGCCTGATATAATCCGGTTGATGTAGATTTACGGATCCAATCCGGAAATAAATCATCAATTCGTTCACCGTGTCGCATAACTACTAAACGGCATGGCAACATTTGTCTTGCATTACTATTTGCGCTTTAATTAAAAAAAAAAAAAGGAAAACTGATAAATCAATTCAAAAAATTAGTACAATTTAAAAAAAAGGCATTTTTCCGGATATCCAAGTTTGTTTTTTGGTCCGGAAAAAAGCATTTTCATATTTAATAACTTTTCGTATTTTTCTCCCTTCTTCCGGAATATTATATCTTCATTCCTCTTATCATTTTCATTAATTCTAACAATTTCATTTCAATAATATTTAAAAATTAATTACTTTAATAAATATAACTGTTAAAATTAAAAGTTTTGATTTTTCTTTTAAACATAAATTTAAAAAATTTTTGAAAAAATTTTTACCTCTTTTTAATGTTATTATTTGCATCAGATTTTGCACTATTTTGATTTCTCTCTAAATAATTTTCCCTTAGAAATTGATGAGTAATTAAAAAAAAAAAAAAAAAAATAAAATAAGAAGCAAAAAATTTTTTAATGATTTAAAATGAAATTTAACAAATACCTTCACTTATCATTTCAATAAGTAAATTATCAAATAAACCAATCAGAAGGGAATTTTGTATTGACAATAATTTTCATATCAAAGAAATCATTTATAAGAATAAATAAAAATATTATTATAATTACTATTATGCTAAAAGTTCACGTGTACTTAAATTTTTTTACGTGGACTTAAACTTATATTCAAAATTATTTTAATTTTTTCGCCTTTTCTATTCCATATTTTATGCAATAATAATAAAAATAATTGAAAAATAATATCAAATTTTTGCAAAATTTTTATTCAATTTTTTTTTTTCTTTTTGACTAATTAACAAAAAAGGGAAAAAAAGAAATTATTATCAGTGATATTATCAGTGATAAATGGTTTAATTAATAAATCATTGCGTAGAATTTATCAATCTTCAATTATTTTCCATTAAAAAATGCATTTCAGCTTTAAATTCATGCAATGCTAAACCAATCGAATCACAATTATCAATACAACAACAAACAATCCTTTCCTTATCACTATCGCCTGTTGCGCTTAACTCTGATACAATGCCGCATTCTTCATAGAATAATTTTTCGGCGCAAACTAGATCATCATCTAGAATTAAATTAAATTTTTGTAGAAAATGAAAAGAGAAGAATTATTTCATAAAAGTTACACTAAGAAATAGTTTAAACTAAATAGCAATAATAAAATTTTTAATTTAATTTTTTTTAAATTATTATTTGTTTTATTTTCTTCCCATTAAATTTTAAATATAAAAAATCTAATCAAATTTGATAGAGAAATAAAATAAATCACACACAAATGTTAATTCATCAATTATTTGAATTATTTAATTTTTTTAATGAATATTTGCAGAAGTCAAAATTAGGAACAAATGATTAGTTTTGAGAAAATTAAAATTAAAATAAACAATTAGTTTTTATTATATTAATAATTTAAATTGATCAAATAATAATTTAAATTAATCAAATCATTTATTTTGTTTCTCAAAATTTTGCTTCTCATAAAGAAATTATAATTCAAACAAATATTTTTCAATGAAATATTTTTTTTTTTTGTTTTATTTGAAAAAAAAGTAAAATTTATCAAAGACATTTTAATTAAATTTAGCAATTATTTTAAAAATTATACTGCAAAAGATTTTGTTGTAATGAAATATTAATTATAAAAAATGGATGGTTAAAATTAAATTTTTGAAATATTATAATTAAATTATTCTTTTGTAGAAAAAAAAAAGAATTTAAATAATAATTTAATATTTACTTTCTTCCTCATCAAATTTCGGTATTTTTTTTACGCATGCGCTTGTTATTTTAGCTTCCTTTTTTTCACCTAAAAATTGCAGATTTCCAAAAATCTGATAAAACTTTAAACTTTAAATTTAATTAATTAATAAAAGGAAATAACATAAATGCTATAATAAACAATATTTGTTACTTATTTATTTTTTTTTTTTTCATAAAAGAATATTTGCTAATTTGTAAATTTTAAGACATCAAAAATGGTAAATATTATTTTAATTAAATTAATCATTAGCAAAAATTAATAGGAATGTTCTCTTAATAGATTTTTTAAAATATTTGAGAAAAAATTCATCAAAGTTTGAAGCTTTTTTTTTTCCAATAATATTTTATCAAAGTTTTTTCTGATAAAATTTGATAACTAACAATTAACAATGATAGTACTAAAAATGCTTTCACTATGACAATATGCGTGTTCGTTTGACGTTGAATACGTTAGTAATTCATTTGGAAACATTCTTCTAGTCTTTGAAAATAAATAAAAAATATTATTAACGAATAAAAATGATTAATTATTGTTGTTAGTTCTAAATCACGTATAAACGTGCGTCATTTAGAGTTAATAACGCACATATTTCAAATATACAAATTAATTAAATAAATAAAAATATATAGAAAAACACGTATAAATATACAAAAATTGAAGTGTACGCGTGGTTTAGAGTACTTATACGTGATTTCTACAAATGTATATTTTTACGTGAATACTACAAATGCATATTTATACGTAAACACTACGAGTGCATGCATATTTGTACGTAAACACTACGAGTGCATGCATATTTGTACGTGAATACTACGAGTGCATGCATATTTGTACGTGAATACTACGAGTGCATGCATATTTGTACGTGAATACTACGAGTGCATGCATATTTGTACGTGAATACTACGAGTGCATGCATATTTGTACGTGAATACTACGAGTGCATGCATATTTGTACGTGAATACTACGAGTGCATGCATATTTGTACGTAAACACTACGAGTGCATGCATATTTGTACGTAAACACTACGAGTGCATGCATATTTGTACGTGAATACTACGAGTGCATGCATATTTGTACGTGAATACTACGAGTGCATGCATATTTGTACGTGAATACTACGAGTGCATGCATATTTGTACGTGAATACTACGAGTGCATGCATATTTGTACGTGAATACTACGAGTGCATGCATATTTGTACGTGAATACTACGAGTGCATGCATATTTGTACGTGAATACTACGAGTGCATGCATATTTTGTACGTGAATACTACGAGTGCATGCATATTTGTACGTGAATACTACGAGTGCATGCATATTTGTACGTGAATACTACGAGTGCATGCATATTTGTACGTGAATACTACGAGTGCATGCATATTTGTACGTGAATACTACGAGTGCATGCATATTTGTACGTGAATACTACGAGTGCATGCATATTTGTACGTGAATACTACGAGTGCATGCATATTTGTACGTGAATACTACGAGTGCATGCATATTTGTACGTGAATACTACGAGTGCATGCATATTTGTACGTGAATACTACGAGTGCATGCATATTTGTACGTGAATACTACGAGTGCATGCATATTTGTACGTGAATACTACGAGTGCATGCATATTTGTACGTGAATACTACGAGTGCATGCATATTTGTACGTGAATACTACGAGTGCATGCATATTTGTACGTGAATACTACGAGTGCATGCATATTTGTACGTGAATACTACGAGTGCATGCATATTTGTACGTGAATACTACGAGTGCATGCATATTTGTACGTGAATACTACGAGTGCATGCATATTTGTACGTGAATACTACGAGTGCATGCATATTTGTACGTGAATACTACGAGTGCATGCATATTTGTACGTGAATACTACGAGTGCATGCATATTTGTACGTAAACACTACGAGTGCATGCATATTTGTACGTGAATACTACGAGTGCATGCATATTTGTACGTGAATACTACTACGAGTGCATGCATATTTGTACGTGAATGCATGCATATTTGTACGTAAACACTACGAGTGCATGCATATTTGTACGTAAATACTACGAGTGCATGCATATTTGTACGTACGTGAATACTACGAGTGCATGCATATTTGTACGTGAATACTACGAGTGCATGCATATTTGTACGTGAATACTACGAGTGCATGCATATTTGTACGTGAATACTACGAGTGCATGCGTATTTGTACGTGAATACTACGAGTGCATGCATATTTGTACGTGAATACTACGAGTGCATGCATATTTGTACGTAAACACTACGAGTGCATGCATATTTGTACGTAAATACTACGAGTGCATGCATATTTGTACGTAAATACTACGAGTGCATGCATATTTGTACGTGAATACTACGAGTGCATGCGTATTTGTACGTGAATACTACGAGTGCATGCGTATTTGTACGTGAATACTACGAGTGCATGCATATTTGTACGTAAATACTAGAGTGCATGCATATTTGTACGTGAATACTACGAGTGCATGCATATTTGTACGTGAATGCCACGAACAGTTTAAAAGTGCCGAGAAATAATTAATTGTTAATAGTAATGAAAATTTTAATTAATGATAATATTATCAGAAATAATTCAATACTAATATATAAAATCATTAAAAATTTTTTTTTAATTTCTGTAATATTTCTAATTGATAGAATCATTTATTATAATAAATATTTATTAAAATAATTTATTATAAATTTGAAAAAAAAAAGCATTAAAAAATTTACTTTTGATAAATTAATTTGATGAATGGCAAATTGTAAAGCTTTGCCTTTTTCATAAGAATTTAAATTGCATGGCTTACGATTGTTATATTCATTACGACAAATACACATTATCATTTCATTTTCTATCAAATTCATACATAATTGTGTACTCTCACCTGATCTACAAATTTTAATTTAATTTTAATTTAATTAAATAATCAAAAATTGAAATGAAATACAATTCATATAGCGATTTATTCATTTATTAAGTGAAATCAATTCAAGAAATGATTAATTATGTCTTACTTCAATTTGATTTTATATAATTTCATTTTATTTATAATTAGCAAAATAAACTTTCCAAACTATATTTTAGTAAAATATTTAAAATAATTATAGATTATTAATTTAATTTGATTTTATATGATTTAGTTTTATTTATAACCAGCAAAGCAAATTTTTTCAAACTACATTTTAGTTCTAATTTATTCAAAAAAAAAAACAAAAAATAAAAATTTGAAATGAAATGAGTTTGAAGTTATTATAATAATTCATTTATTAATTAATTGAATTCAGTTCTAAAAAAGAAATTAATTAAGATTATTACTTCAAATTAAGTTTTATTTATAATTAACAAAATAAACTTTCGAAATTATTTATCTCATACAATTGCTGCTAATTAAAGTTTTAACATTTTTGAAAAAAATAAAAATAAATTTTTGAATATATAGTATGTAATTCAATGAGAATTGAATTGTCAATGAATGATTAAGTGATTATGATAAAAGGAAAAAGCAATTGAAATTATCAAATTGCCAATATATTTAAATAATTGAAATTATTTTTTTCTTTTTTTTTAAAAAAAGAAAAGAAGGAAATTTATGATAGACGAAAATTTAAACTTACAATGCATACATTGTAAATGGAATCATTGCTAATTTAAATTTTGCTTGATTAATAAACGTTCGACGAACAGCATTTCCACTAAATTCGTAATATAAATCTAAAAAAAATATTTGAAAATATTTTTCATTGTTTATTTAAAAAAAAAAAAATTGATTTAAATTTAAGAAAAATTCAAAATCAATGTGAAAGATTATATTGCGATTAATAATATATTAATTCTAAATTACGATTAATAATATATTAATTCAAAATTACATTATTGGCAATTTTAAAATGCAAAACTCAATTTTTTAATTGTAAAACAGTTTGAGACAACCTTTTATCATTGAAATTTATGTTAGTAAACAATGAATATTCTTATCATTTTCTTTTATCATCTTTATCACTGCTATTATCAACATTATCATATATTTTTGTTTTGTTTGTAAATTTCAAATGATAAAGGATATTATATTTTAGTATTGGTTTATTGATTAAATTTAAATTTTCATAAAATATTAAATGTTTTTTCGTTGAGAAATTATAAAAACAAAAATTTCAAATAGTTTGAAAAGACAAAAATAATTTGTTTAGAAATTATATTTATCAATGCAAATTGAAAAATTTAGAAAAATAAACAAAAAAACAAACTATTGCCAATTGCTTTAAAATCCAATATTGTCGCACAATATGGTGACAAATCGTTTACTTTAATTTTTATTCTATGATTGAATAGCAATGATTGTTTACCTTTATATTTTGCACAATAATATTTTCTATTCTGAAATAAAATTTTTGCAACCAATTCATAAGGAATTATTGAAATTTCGAAAATTGATAAATAATTAGTTAATTTATTCAAATGCAAAAATTTTAGTATTTATAAAATGTTGAAATATTGCATAGGTAAATTGTTTAAATATATTTTTTAAATAGTTTGCAATTTTTTTTTAATATTTATAAAGTGTTTCAATATTTATATAATGTATTAATACTTATAAAATATTGCATATATAAGTAGTTTAAATATTTTTTAAAATAGTTTATAATTTTTTTTTAATATTTATAAAATACTGGAATATTTCACAGGTAAGTAGCTTAAGTATACTTTTTAAATAGTTTATAATTTCTTTTTATTACTTATAAAATATTGAAATATTACATTTATTTATTACCAAATTTAATTTCTTTTGTTCAAATTCAAATTTTTTTCCTTTTTTTTTTTCTTTTTGAAATAACTGAAAAGAAAATAAAAGAATTAAGCGCTTTTTTTATTTTTTAAATTTAAAGGAAAAAAAAGAAGAAATATTTTACGGAATTTTGAGCTTTTTCAGCAATATTTTCCATTAAAATACTATCACAAGGTATTTCACCGGGCGCTGTTTGACATCGACATGCAAATAATCTCAGTGGCATATATGTTGTCTCCAAATATTTCAATAATTTTGTTGATTTATAACAATAACGAGTTTGAAGATAATCATATTTCAACTGTAAACAAAAAAACATAAAAGCGCAAATTTACTTACTCACATAAATCATTTAAAGTTATTGTTTTGAATTTGTGATAGACGAAGATAAATATTATAAATAATGAAGTTAGTTATATGTCACTGATAATCACTGATAAATTTTTGCTTGTTTAATTTTATGTAACTGATAAGAATAAGTGTTAAAAGTTACATCAACATCAAGGTAATCACATTCATTTGGTTCTAATAATGCATATGAAAAATCAATTGGTTGAATTGCAGAACCTAAAACGAAAACAAAATAGAAATGATAAATGATTCTCTAAGGTTAATTGTTAATGTCACACCAATCAATAGTTGTTAATTGTTAATGATCAATTAAAGTAATAAGTGAATAAATGTTAAATTTAAGTATTGGACTAATAATGGGGTAAAACTATAAGTGAACAAATTCAATAATGCTAAATGTTATAATAAAATACCAAGCTAATAAGCCAGTAAAGCAATAAGTGAATTTAGCAATACTAGATGTTATATAAAAAATGCCAAGTTAATAAGTCAGTAAAACAACGGGTGAATAAATTTAGCAATACTAAATGTTAAAACAAAGTGTCAAGCCTATAAGTCAGTAAAACAATAAGTGAAAAAATCGAGCAATACTAAATGTTATAAAAAAAATGCCAAGTTAATAAGTCGGTAAAACAATAGGCAAATAAATTTAACAATACTAAATGTTAAAATAAAATGCCAAGCTGATAAGTCAATAAAACAATAAGTGAATAAATTTAGCAATACTAAATGTTAAAACAAAATGTCAAGCCTATAAGTCAGTAAAACAATAAGTGAATAAATTTAGCAATACTAAATGTTAAAACAAAATGTCAAGCCTATAAGTCAGTAAAACAATAAGTGAATAAATTTAGCAATACTAAATGTTAAAACAAAATGTCAAGCCTATAAGTCAGTAAAACAATAAGTAAATAATTTTAGCAATACTAAATGTTAAAACAAAATGTCAAGCCTATAAGTCAGTAAAACAATAAGTGAATAAATTTAGCAATACTAAATGTTAAAACAAAATGTCAAGCCTATAAGTCAGTAAAACAATAAGTGAATAAATTTAGCAATACTAAATGTTAAAACAAAATGTCAAGCCTATAAGTCAGTAAAACAATAAGTGAATAAATTTAGCAATACTAAATGTTAAAACAAAATGTCAAGCCTATAAGTCAGTAAAACAATAAGTGAATAAATTTAGCAATACTAAATGTTGTAAAAAAAATGCCAAGTTAATAAGTCGGTAAAACAATAGGCAAATAAATTTAACAATACTAAATGTTAAAATAAAATGCCAAGCTGATAAGTCAATAAAACAATAAGTGAATAAATTTAACAATACTAAATGTTAAAACAAAATGCCAAGCTGATAAGTCAATTAAAAAAAACTTTTTTTCTTATAAAATTTAACAATGCTAAATGTTTTTTTTTTATAAATTTAGCAATGCTATGCTAAATGTTAGTGTAAAATACCGGGCAAAAAGAAAATAACAGAATTTTTTCTTTTAAAATTATAATTCATATCGTAGAGAGCATTTCCGGAAATGAAATGTAATAAGCATGAATGGTTAGCATCCGGTTCAGTGGGATAAAAATAATCATGTAGAAAGTATTGATATTCATTATTAAATTTGCATAAATTAGGAATTGATTTTGTTGCTGTACGTTTTATAATATCAACCTGAAAGAAGAACAAAAACGGAAAAAAAAAAACTTTAAAAAAAGTGAGGAAAATAAAATTATTTTTAAATTATCAATTTTATCAAAAATCAAAATGTTATATCATTGGATATTCACTTTAAAAAAATTGAAATTAAATTAAAGTAAATAAATTTTTTTCTGCTTTTATTTCAAATTAAAGATATTATTTTTTTTTTTTTTTTTTTGAGTTAGAAATCCATATAAATATTATTTTAAATTTTACAAATTAAGAAAAAAAAATGTGCAAATTTTGATTTTAATTTTTATCTTTTACTGCTTGCAAAATTAGAATGATTTGATTAAAAAAAAATTTAAAGATAATAAAATTAGTAAAAATTTAAACAAACATTATAGTTACAAAATGATCGATCATTACAACAACACATAATATGATAATGCGCAAATGTCCTGCTAGTAGTGAATGGACATTGCGCATCGAGCGCTAAAATTATTGACTAATTTAATTTTGAATGAAAAATTTTTCAAAATTTTCACAAAACAAAAAGCTATCAATTCAAAAAGAAAGCAAACAAACTGATCATTTCAATTACAAAGAGAAAATGGAAAAAAAAAAAAACATTGAAAAATTCAAATATTTTGAAAAATTTAGTCTATAATAATAATTTTTAAAATAATAATTTGTTGTTGTTTTTTTTTTTTTATTTTTAAATATTAAATAAGCGTAAAGTGGTTAAATTATGCAGTAAGATCATTTAATAATTTCAGAATTATTTTCAAAAAAAAAAACGGAGAATTAATTATTTAAATTCAAATAATTCGAAAGATTCAAAATTATTCAAAAATTTAAAATAATTCGAAAGTAATAACAAACGTAAAAGTTGTGCACAATGAAATCGTAAAATGTCACTTGCTCGACTATCCCAATTACTTAAATTAATACATTGAAATGAATTTGTAATGATATTTACACGTTGTTCAATTAATTTCTTATAATAATTAATTTGTTCCATTTTATTTAAAATCGATAAATTCGGCTAAAAATTAAGCAAAAAAAAAATTGATAAAAATAAAAAATTGAATTAATTTCGAGAAGAAAAAGCAAATTATTAATTGCAAAAAAATTAAGCAAAATGAAATTATCTAATAATTTCAGTGAATTTAAATTTGAATTACTAAATATGTTTATATAAATATAATTTTTCTTTTTCTTTGTGTAACAACAATTTTAATCAGATAAAAAATTATTTTCAATTAATTTAAAATGAATATAAATAAGTGAATGTAGATAAAATATAGGTAAAATAAATAATTGAATAAATGAAATATTTCTATTTTTAATGTTTTAGTTCTTTTCCATTTCATTTTTTTTATTGTTTAAATATTAAAATTAATTAATTAATTAATTAATTAATCCACTTGATAACTTAAAAAAAAGTGAAAAGAAATTGATAGTTTTTAGAAATAATATCATTGCAAATTATACCAAAGTTGTTTGTTGTTTTTCTGATAATTCATTGATATCCGAAATAGTTATCTGTTCAGTAGCTTTTGCTACTTCCTGATATGATAAGATCAGTTGTTTTGTTATAAAATAACTGTTGAAATATACATTTATTTCTTTATTACCATTAAATTTTAGATGAAGTTCACAAAACTGCAAATAAATTACATTATATTATCAAATAATAATATTAGTCACATAAATAAATATATAAATAAAATAAATATAAATAAACAAATATAGAATTAAAATAAATAAATCAATAAATATGAAATTAAAATTTGAAAAAAAAGTAACAAATTTCTTTGCAAAAAAACAAATTTAAAATGAATTTAATTAAATTTTAATTAAAACAATTCAGTAAAAATTATTTGTAATAAATTTTAGATGAATTTTAACAAAATTTTAGTAAACAATATTTTTGTTGTTAGCTTTCTTTTTTTATTGGTTTCTATATTTTGAAATTTTGAATTAGTGAAAAATTTGAATTATTTTATTTGTTGTTTTTTTTTTTTTTTCAAAAACATTAACAAGAAATGATAGAACAATAAACAATAAGCAATGTGTTTTTTTTTCTGCTTTTTTCATTCCTAAAATATTTAATCAAATTACAGTTTTTTGCATTTCATTCATTAGATCGTCCACATTGCCTTTAAATTCTATTCCATCACTGCCATGATTGACCTTTGAACTATGACTCATACTACTGCCATCAATGACGCACGTCATTTTATTCCTGTACAATTCATCAACAGTCGGACCAGTTCTTATTGCATTTCTTATTCGTTCTGCAATGTAATATTTCATTAATAAACGTTGAAAAGAGCAAAACATTTAAATAAAGCGTATTACACGTGTATTACGTGATGATTACGTCAAATTATAGAAATTTCATAGTAAAATTTTTGCAATAAACCTTCTCCTAAACCCTTTTTAATCACTTATACTAATGTAATTAACTGCAAAGCATCGATTCAATTAAAACATACTACACGTGTATTACGTGATAATTACGTCAAATTATAAATATTTAATAGTAAAATTTTTGCAGTACACTTCCTTCTAGACCTCTTTCTAATCATTTATACTAAAAAACCTCTTTTAATTGCTTATATTAATGTAATTAATTACAAAACATCAATTCAATCGAAACATATTGTACGTGTATCACGTGATAATTACGTCAAATTATGAATATTTGATAGTAAAATTTTCAGAATACACTTTCTTTTAAATCTCTTTGCAATCATTTATACTAACGTAATTAATTGCAAAGTATTAATTTGAAAACAATTTAATAACCTTGACAACGTGGAATTTTATCACCGTAGCAACAACATTCATAACCGTAATGTTTCGTTAATAACACGTATACAACGCATACACTGTAAGACTGAAACGTAAAATACGTGAATATTACATATGCAAAATTCTTTCAAATACTTTTTAAAACTAACTGTTGTTGCATATGTATTTAGACAATGATTCTTGTTGTATTTGTTAGCTATAGCTGACGTATACCGTCCCATATACGTAACGTCTTTTTGACGTGGTGGTGCAAGAGCACGTAGCAATAAACCTTCCCAATTTAATCTATCAAATGCACCCACAAAACCAACACGATTTCCAAGTAATACAGGAATCTGAAATAGTAAATCTAAATGAGTAAAAAAAAAATGAAATCATTAATTCTATAACCAAATTTTTAAATTAAAATTTCAATTTTTAAATTTATTCTTTAAATTTGCAACATTGTATTTGTGTCAAATCATTGTCATTTATCTTTTGAATTATTGTTTGATTAAATTTTATAAATTTTAAAGAAAAACAAAACAAAGTTTTTTAGTAAAATATCATTAAATCAGTTAAACTTTTTATGATAAAAATTATAAAATTAACATCTTCCATTAATCATTCAAACATTCTATTTAATATTTTTACATATTTCAATAATTAATCTTAATAATATTGTTTCTCAACTTTCATTCATTTAAATTAATTAAAATAATAATGTAAACATTTCTAAAAGAAAGTGGAATAAATACAGAAAAAAAAAAAGTAATATTAAATTAAAACGTGTTAACACGTAAAAAATGATACGTACGAGATGATACGTTGATGATTCACATGCCGGAATTATACCAAAATTTTGTTTTGTCGCTAAATATTGCGTATCAATAAATGAATTTAATTTTTTTCGAAATAATAATATATCATTTCGTTGAAGTGCAAATTTTGATAAAATTACAATTTGAATTTTTAATTTAATAATCCAATTAATAGCATTTAGCATTTGACATAATTTACAACATCCCATAAACATATCTTTGTATGTATTATTTTTTGTCTAAAATATGTTTTTTTTTTTTTTCTTTTTTTCATTTTCAATTTTTTTATAAACAATATTAATAATTTGAAATATAAAATTTAAAAAAAAAAAAAAAAATTTAGCTATGGACATAGACATATTAGTTATTGCTAAAAGTTTATATAACATTTACACTTACATCTATATTTTTTATAAAATGATATTAAATTTAAAAATAAAAAACGATTTAATTAGTTCTTGCTAAAAGTTTATTCAATAAAATGTAATGTTAAAAAAAAAAAAAAATTAAAAAAAAATTTAATTATTAGAATTTTAATTAATAATAAAAAGTGAAAAAAAAAAAGAGAAATCAATTATTATTATTATAAAAGTTATAATTTTTTATAAAATTAATTTATTATAGTAATTTTTTTCGTTTTTTTTTTTCGGTAAAATATCAATAATTTATTGCATTAAATAAAAATTATATAAAAAAATTCTATGTAATAAAAAGAAATACAATAAAAATTATATATAAACTAATAAAAATTAATCTTTTTTTAAAAAATTATTTAATTTAATTTAATTAAAAGCTTACCTTAACCCATGCACCATAGTAATATGTTATATTTGTTGTATTACTTTCAATTTTATCACATAATGGCTTTGCTGCTCGTTCAAATTCATTCATTGTTATATCGCTATCAATGATTAATTGATTGTAATTAAAGTATAACTTTTCATCAAAAGTAAATCCATCATTGCTCAGTTTGTAATTAATTCCATATATGCAAAAATTTGACTTAGGACTGAAATTTTTTGTTGGTAATTAATTATTGTTTTAAATTTCAAAAAAATTTTTTTTCGTTGTTTTTCTTATTTAATCAAATTAATTACATTTTAAATTTTTAAATTATCTATCTGCTACTTTTTTTTTTAAAAATTAAATTTAATCATTTTAAGTTGAATGTTATAAATTTGTAAATTAATCATTATGTGTTTTACTTGACTATCATCATTCCTAGTAATTACAATGATTTCCATTTCTCTCTCTCTCTCTCTCTTTGTCTCTCTTCCCCTCTCTCTCTCAACCCCTTCTCCCTCTAATTATGAATTGTATAAAATTCATTTTGTTGTGTCACATTGCTAATAGAATACTGGAAAAACATGAATTATTCTCGATTAAATTATATAAAACTAGGTGCATAAAAAGTTAAACGTGAAACTCTTAATGGTTAAAGTCATATTTTGCGTAAAACACGTCATGCCACGTGTTTTTTTTAAAGATTTTCTACGTATAATAGTAATTTCATACGTATAATAATTGTTTTCTTCCGGATTAAAACATTTTATCGTTTGTTCAGCTTTTGCTATCTTCCATAACTATAAATTAGTAAAATGCAATAATTATTTTTTTTGTAATATTTCAAAAAATTAAAAAGAAAAAAGAAAAGAAAAAAAAAACAATAAAATAAATAAAAATTACTGATAACAAATTAAATCATTCTGTTATCACATTTAACAATCAATCATTAAAACATATTCAATAGCTTTTTCAATTTTAATTTCAATTATTTTTGCTACATTTAATAAATTAAAAAAGTGTTAAAAATTTAATTCAATTAATTCAAATATAACTCATAAAAAGAAAAGAATTTAATAAATTTCACTGTGTTAAAAATATAAAATAGTAATAAATACAAAGATGAAAAAATAATAATTAATAGCAATTAATCAAATTTTTCTTTTTTAATTAATGAATTAATCGAAATGAAGAAACGACAGCAGTAAACATATAAATAATGATAATAATAACAATAAACAAATTAATAATAGTGGTAGTATAGTGATAATATTAATAACAAGAATATAATAAATGAATAATTAAAAAAACAAAAATAATTAAACACTGATAAATAGTGATGAATAATGATAGAAAATTATGTAAAACGAGTGGTAACGAATAATTTGATTAGCAATAATAACAATAATGATAATAGTATAACAACAATAATAATAATGATAATGATAATAATAATAATAATAAAATAACAGAAAACAAAAATAATTAAATACTGATAAAAATAATATCAGAAATGATTAATGATAAGAAATTATACACTAGGAGTGATAACGAATAATTTCATTAGCAATAATAAATGCATAATATAATTAATAATGATTAATTAGCTGAGAGTGTCGCCTTGTGTGACCGACCACTCCGAGCAATGAGTATTAATTGAACTGACGAAATGATAGCATTTTAGGTAAAAATTTATCTAAAAAAACTTATAAATTTCTCGAAAAGAAAATAAAAGATCAAAAATTAAATTTTTAAACAAAATTCTCAAAGAAAAGTTCTTAAAACAAAAATTCTTAAAATTAAATATATTCTTAAATACAATTTTTCTTTAATTTATATATATATATATAAAAAATTTAAATATATAAAATTTAAACCTCCCTCTCTCTCCCCCTCTCTCTCTCTTTCTCTTTCTATATGTTATTCAGCTATTTCATTTCAGTTTGAAATAAATTTAAACTTGAAAAGTTGAATTTGAATTCTGAAAATTTGAATTTAATTTATTTGGCAATATCATAACAAATCAAATTTTAATATTAATATTAATAACAATCATAGCATTTGCATTCATTGAAATATTATAAATGTTTTTTTTTGATATAATTTGAAAAACTTAGTTAATTAAGTTAATTTAATTACTCCGCCAGAAAAGAAAGATCAACTTCGAAACAAAAAGATCGATTCATTTATTATCATTATCATATTATTATTATTATTATCATGTTATCATTATCATCGTGATATTATTGTCATTGCCATGTTATCATTATCATCGTGATATTATTGTCATTGTCATGTTATCATTATCATCATGATATTGTCATTATCATGTTATCATTATCATCGTGATATTATTGTCATTGTCATGCTATCATTATCATCGTGATATTATTGTCATTGCCATGTTATCATTATCATCATGATATTGTCATTGTCATGTTATCATTATCATCATGATATTGTCATTGTCATGTTATCATTATCATCATGATATTGTCATTGCCATGTTATCATTATCATCATGATATTGTCATTGCCATGTTATCATTATCATCATGATATTGTCATTGCATGTTATCATTATCATCATGATATTGTCATTGTCATGTTATCATTATCATCATGATATTGTCATTGTCATGTTATCATGACAATATCATGTTATCATTATCATCATGATATTGTCATTGCCATGTTATCATTATCATCATGATATTGTCATTGCCATGTTATCATTATCATCATGATATTGTCATTGTCATGTTATCATTATCATCATGATATTGTCATTGTCATGTTATCATTATCATCATGATATTGTCATTGCCATGTTATCATTATCATCATGATATTGTCATTGTCATGTTATCATTATCATCATGATATTGTCATTGTCATGTTATCATTATCATCATGATATTGTCATTGTCATGTTATCATTATCATCATGATATTGTCATTGCCATGTTATCATTATCATCATGATATTGTCATTGCCATGTTATCATTATCATCATGATATTGTCATTGCCATGTTATCATTATCATCGTGATATTATTGTCATTGCCATGTTATCATTATCATCATGATTATTGTCATTGCCATGTTATCATTATCATCATGATATTGTCATTGCCATGTTATCATTATCATCATGATATTGTCATTGTCATGTTATCATTATCATCGTGACATTGCCATGTTATCATTATCATCATGATATTGTCATTATCATGTTATCATTATCATCGTGATATTATTGTCATTGCCATGTTATCATTATCATCATGATATTGTCATTGCCATGTTATCATTATCATCGTGATATTATTGTCATTGCCATGTTATCATTATCATCATGATATTTGTCATTGCCATGTTATCATTATCATCATGATATTGTCATTGCCATGTTATCATTATCATCATGATATTGTCATTGTCATGTTATCATTATCATCGTGACATTGCCATGTTATCATTATCATCATGATATTGTCATTATCATGTTATCATTATCATCGTGATATTATTGTCATTGCCATGTTATCATTATCATCATGATATTGTCATTGCCATGTTATCATTATCATCATGATATTGTCATTGCCATGTTATCATTATCATCGTGATATTATTGTCATTGCCATGTTATCATTATCATCATGATATTGTCATTGCCATGTTATCATTATCATCGTGATATTATTGTCATTGCCATGTTATCATTATCATCATGATATTGTCATTGCCATGTTATCATTATCATCATGATATTGTCATTGCCATGTTATCATTATCATCATGATATTGTCATTGTCATGTTATCATTATCATCGTGATATTATTGTCATTGCCATGTTATCATTATCATCATGATATTGTCATTATCATGTTATCATTATCATCGTGATATTATTGTCATTGCCATGTTATCATTATCATCATGATATTGTCATTGCCATGTTATCATTATCATCATGATATTGTCATTGCCATGTTATCATTATCATCATGATATTGTCATTGCCATGTTATCATTATCATCATGATATTGTCATTGCCATGTTATCATTATCATCGTGATATTATTGTCATTGCCATGTTATCATTATCATCATGATATTGTCATTATCATGTTATCATTATCATCGTGATATTATTGTCATTGCCATGTTATCATTATCATCATGATATTGTCATTGCCATGTTATCATTATCATCATGATATTGTCATTGCCATGTTATCATTATCATCGTGATATTATTGTCATTGCCATGTTATCATTATCATCATGATATTGTCATTGCCATGTTATCATTATCATCATGATATTGTCATTGTCATGTTATCATTATCAAAATCAGCAACTATAGGACAAAATAAAATTTTATCAAAAAAAAAAAAGAAAAAGATATCAACGACAAAACGACACAAATATAAAATGTAATTAATATTGAGCAAATTAATGCAATTAAATGAAATTTAATTTCTTGAATTTTAATTTAATAACATTACAAGTTTTTGTGTGATTCATAATTTATTTGTTTGCATAATTTAATTCACAAATTAGAATTGATAAATTCATAATTTAGTTTTTCAATTTTTTTTTTTTTTTTCACAAAATCAGGCAGTTAATCAGCTAGTGATAGTATAATCTGATAACTTATATCAATGATTATATACACACACATATAATATATATATAATTAATTAATTATTTATCAATAAATGAAAAAGATTGAATGCATTAAATAAAAATTTTTCATTTTCTTTTTTGCTTTTTTTTTTCAAAAAATTTCACAAAAATTTATGTTCACAAAATCAATTCATTAATTATATAACTTTGAACTGATTTATTTGAAAAAAAAAATGAAAATTATTAAATCTTTTCACATAATTTTTGAAGTAATTAAATTTTCTTTTCAATTTTTTTCTCGAATTTTTCTTTTTTTTTTTTTTTTTTTTGTAAACAATCATAATAAAACAAACGTAATCATTGCTTCATAATTGCAAATTAATACAATTAACAAAAGAAAAAGAAACACAAAATTTTGATAATTAAATTACAGAATATTTTTACATGGCGCAAATGTCGTATAATGGCATTAATGATTTCCTAAGAGAAATAATTTAATCTTATCAATATTAACCACATATAATCACTGAAAGAAGCGTAACGTGACGTAATAACGTGTAAAAAAATAAAAAAAAATACGCCATATTTTCTGGACTAAAACAGCGTAGCATAAAATTGAATGCCATAAAATCCATTTAACAGAGCAAATTACTAGAATAATTCTTTCAATTTTCACTAAACAGATAGATAGATAAATTACCCGTAAAAAAATAAGAAAAACACCGCCAAATAATCTTTCATATAATTAATAAAAAAAATTTTTTTTTTTTTAGGACTTTCCGACACAATAATTACTAATATTTGGCGTTTAAAAATGAGATCGGAAACTAAGCAATGCAATTGTACTTTGTAAATGTAAACAAACTACAATTTAAACTAATTTTAAAATTTGCAGAAAAGAAAAAAAAATGTTTTTTTTTTCTTTTTAAAACTAAGAAATAATAATTTTGAAAGATTTTTCCAAATCAAAAAAAAAAAAAAAAAATAAAATTGAAAAATTAATGCAAATAATAACAATTTTTGATAAATTTCATTTCAAATTGTTTAAATTTAAAACTGAAAAAAAGAAATGCAAGAAGAAAAATTATTTTTAATCAAATTTTCTTAAAATTTAACTAATTAGTTTTTTGTTTTTTATTTTTTTTTGGAAATGAAAAATTCGAAATGATATATTATCGAGAACTTTCTTTTTTTTTTTTTTTGGTTTTTAATAGTATACAATTTCAATTAATTAATATGCAATTATATTATCTTATAGCAAATAATTCTAAAATTTTATTAAATTTTTTTTTTATTTTAAAATCATTTCTTCTTTTTTTTTTTTTCTTTAAATGAGAGAAGTAAAAAAGTAAAAAAAGAGTCAAAATGATAAGTGATATGCACAAGAATGATAAATTCAAGTATTGAATGATTTAATTAATTAATTAATTAATATGAATATTAATAAATTCCAATAATAAATTACTTATTTCTTTCTTTTTTTCTTTTTCTGCAACATATTATCAATTATCATAATGATACAGGTGAATTTTTTAATGAATGAATGACAATTGTTGGTGACACCAAATGAATGCTACGTTCATCGATGTAATCCAAATCTGGCAAATCGATTGGTATTGCACCATCGGATCTAAAATATTTTAAATTATCACTAAATTTATAATATTTAATTAATAATATATCACTAAAATAAATGCTTTTAATTATCACTAAACTTATAATATTTAATTAATAATATATCACTAAAACAAATGCTTTAAGTTATCATTAATTTGTGATATTTAATTATTAATAAACTAATTAAGTGATTATTATGTTATTATGATATCTTCAATAAATAGTAATCAATTATCAATTGAATTTTTTTTTATTTCCCGTAAAATTTATCAATTAATATTACTGTTTACATTGAAATTAGTTCCAAAAAAAAAAAGAAAAAACATAAGTAAATTTTTAAATAGCTATTGTATATTACTATTATTATTATTATTACTAATATTAATATTATTGTTATTGTTATTATTATTATTATTATTATATTATTATTATTATTATTATTATTATCATTATTATTATTATTATTATTGTTATTCCTGTTATTATTCATTTTATCAATTGATATTGTGCTGAATTTGATATAAACATCATTTTCCTTTTGTAATAATACAAATTAAAATAATAGTAATTTATACTTTATAAAGTAATTCATACTTTATAATTTAGCTTACAAATATAATTTCATTAATACTAATATTATCATTTTTAATTAAAAAATAATTTTATTTGTAATATATTTTAATTATTTCAAAAATAAAATTTCACTTCTTTCTCACTTTCTCTAAATATACCTTAAAATAATAAATTATTGAAATTTCTAAAATATTTTAAAACTATTTTTTTTCCTCTTTAGAAAATCAAAAAAAAATAAAAGTTTATTATTTTGTTTTTTTTTTTTTTTTTTTTGTTTTAACAAACTAACATGTAAAACTATCATTAATTTTAGCAATCGTTCAACAAATTTAACTCAAAAGCATATTAAAATGCATTTTGGAAAAAAGCTAAAGGAAAAAGCAATTATTTTCTCAAAAGGATAAAAAGGGTAAATAACAAATAAGCGAAATAGTGAAATGCTTAGGAGAGAGAGAGGGAGAGAGGGGGAAGGGAGAGAGGGGGAGAGAAAAAGAGAGAGAGAGAAATGATAAAATTATAAAAAATTGTGAATTTTAGAAGAATTGATGTAAATCTATTAACTTTTAAACATTCGAAAATTTAATTAAAAAAAAAAAAAAAAAAAAAAAACAACAAACAAATGAATTTAAAATTTTACAATAAATTGCGGAAAAAAAACAACAAAACAAAAGACATAACTAAAATAATAATAAAATGAATCTTAAATTACATCAAAAAATGATAAATTTAATTACTGGAATTAATAATTTGTGAAAAAAAAAATCTTTTCCCTTTACTTTTTAAATTTTAAAATTATAACCATTTTTTAAATTAATTTCATTAGCAAAAAAAGCAATCATTCAACAAAAAATAAAACTAATAAAAACAAATCATAATTTTAACAATAATAAATAATAATTTTAATTAATAAATATAATTAGTCAAAAAAAAATTGAAAATTTAACAAAATACTACTAAAAAATATATAATATTAAATAATAAAAGTAAGAAAAACATTATTAATATATATAATATAAAAGTAAGAAAAAAAAATATATAATATAAAAGTAAAAAATATATAATATAAAAGTAAAAAATATATAATATAAAAGTAAAAATATATAATATAAAAAATATATAAATAAAAAAAAACAATTATTAATAAAGATAAAAAAAAAGGAAAAATAATTGAAATTTACAAATTTCTTCGCTTTTACAATAAAATTTTTGATTATATCATATAATTTCATATTGATAAAATTTTCTGCATCATTTATTATCAACAAATAATTGTTATTATTTTTGATATTAATTATTAATTCAATTAAAATTTGAAAAACTATTTTTATGCAAATTCTTATACATATATTTTACACAGTGTAAATTTATAATAAAACATTCAAAAATATTTCAATTTTAATCTTTTACAAAATAAAAAAATAAAAAAAAAAAACATAATAAATAAATGAAGAGAAAAATTTTAATTATGAAAAGTAAAAACAAAAAAAATGAAAATCTGACCTTAATAAAATTTTATTCGGTGTATCGTGTAAAATTTCACTGAATTCATTCTGTTGTTGTAGCGGTATTGTCTGATTGTATGAATGTTTGGGATAATGATTTTTCCGCTGACAAAATTTATCTTTCAGAAATATGAAAAGTAAAATTATGAGAGCTATTAAAGCAACAGTAAATGTAAATATTAGCAAATATTTGTTTATTGTATCTCCTTGCATTACACTGAAAACAAAAACAAATAAACAATAAACAAAAAATTTATTTTATCTATTTTTCAAGTTTTCTTTTTAAAAATTTTTTTATCAATTTAATTTTTCGTTTTCTTTTTTTTTTTTTTTTGAAATTAAAAATGTAAGCTAATATTGAGTGCTAATGAAACACAGATGTGAAATTTATAAAATTTAAATAATGAAAAAAGAAAAAATGAATTGCAAGTTGCATATAAATGAGAAAAATAACAACGTGAAAAAATTTTATAGCAATCGAAGAGAAATAAAAATAAATTTTTTTTTTAAAAAAAAAAAGAGTTTAAATTAAAATTTTGTTGTTTGCAAAGTAATAATTGGCAAAGTTTTAAAATTTTCAAATTCCTCGCTGAAATATTAGTTACAAAAAAAAAGTTTCACTCCTTAGTAATGAATTAATTTTGAATTTATAAATGAAATTATGGAATTGATCTATTAGAAATAATTGAATTTCAAAAATTTTATCTCAAATTTTATCTCATTTATCATTATTATTATTATTATTATTATTATTATTATTATTATTATTATCATATAATTATTTGACAATAATATATTTAATAAAATTGTTTAACAATAATTTAATTAATACAAAAATTAATAGAAAATTTTGAAAAATTTTGCTCAAATAATTAGTCAAATTTAAGAAAAAAAATGGATTCAAAAGTGTAAGTTAATTGTTTTTTAAAGAAAATGTCAACTTTTTTTCATTTGTAAATTAAATAAAAATTTTTTGAATGAATTTTTAATGAAAAAAAGAATGAAGGAAAAACTCTGAATATTTTCTTTTTTTTTAAATAAAGAAAAGGAAAAATTATTTGATTGAATTGGAAGATTGATCGATCAAGGATTGATGGATGGAAGAAATCGATGGATCGATGGAGTGAAATGATGATCTGAAGATGGTTGGAGGAATTCGTGAATAAATGAGCGAATGAATGAATGAATGAATTTAATTAATATAATTAAATAAACTGAATGAATTGAACGAATGAATGAATTTAATTAATTAATTAATTAAATGAACTGAAAGAATTGAATGAATTTAATTAAATAATTAAATGAACTCAATGAATTGAATGAATTTAATTAAATAATTAATTAAATGAACTGAATGAATTGAATGAATTTAATTAATTAATTAATTAATTAAATGAACTGAATGAATTGGATGAATTAATGAATTAATTGATTAAATGAATTGAATGAATGAATGAATGAATAAATAAATAAATAAATAAAATGAAATGAGTAGATCGATTGAATTGAAGGGACTGATTGATCGGTTGACAGATGGTAGAAATCGATGGATCGATAGAATGAGTGATCGAAAGATGATTAGAGGAAACGATGAAATGACTAACTCTTTTCGCTGAGTAATTTAATACTTCCCACCTCTAAATTATATTGATTAATTATAAATAATTTGTAATCAACACAAAGAGAGAAAGAGAGAGGGAGAAAGAGATAGAAAGAGAAGAAGGTGAGTGAAAGAGAGAGAGAGAGAGAGAGAGAGAATTTGGCGTTATATTAACAATTATTTGCTAAAATGTAGGAAGAAATATGATTGTTTAAATAATATTTTTATTTTTATTCTTTGAATGAATTGAGAAATTTGAAAAAATTGAAATTTTAACAAAAAATGAATGAGTCATTCATTTTTTGTTAATTGTTAAAAATCAATTAATCGTATTCAAATTAATAATTGTATATTTGATAAATGTTTTCTAATTTATCAAATATTCAATTTTATCAAATTGTTCAAAGAATATATATACATATAATAATTCAAATTTATAATAATAATATAAGAATTTTAATATAAAATAGTAATTAAATTAATAGAGAGAGAGAGAGAAAGAGAGAGAAGAAAGAAAGAAAAAAGCTGAAAATAAACAAATTTTATTTTCTATTCATTTTTTTTTTTTTTTTTGTTCCTGAAATTAAAATTTTCATATGATCAAATTGAAATGATTCTTTTCATTTATTTCAAATTTTTTATCTTATTGTTTTTCCTTTTTTGTTTTTTTATTCTTTGATTTATTTGATGTTTAAAATTAAATAACAATTAATCTGAATCATTCATTGAATTTGTGGTTTTAGTTTCAGCTAAAATAAAAAACATATATGTTATTTTAGAAAATAATAATAATAAAATGAAATAAATGAAATGGAAGGAAAGAATTGCTATGCAAAGTTTGTTTGTTCTAAAAAAAAACGAAAGAAAAATTCACTAAAATAATCCGGTCTAAAACTATCTATTATTCCGGTTAATAGAACAGGACAGAATAAAAAAAAAAAAACGGTTAATGCAAGTGTGTGGTCTTTTTAATTCTTTGCTTCTTGTTTAAAAAAAAATAAGAAAATTAAAAGAAAAATAAAAAAAAAAAGATTTATAAATTAAAATGACAAAGTTTTCCAACAAATAAATTTATTCCTCAGAAAAAAAAAATAAAAATAAAAAATAATAAAACTTTGCAATTGCAAAAATGAAATTTATGAGTTTAATGAGCAGAATTTAAAAAAGAAATTTATATATTTTAAAGCTAAGAATTATTTTTGTTTTAATAAAAAGGCAAAAATTAATAAAGAAAAAATGATGAAAAATTTCTCAAATTTTGACAAAATTTGTGAAAAAAAATTCCAAAAATATTGAAATACTAAAGAATAAATTTTTATGTATAACTTTAATTAAGATTTAATTAAGATAAAAGCTCTTTTGGTGCTTATAGCAATAGCATAAATCAAATATGCTTGAATGATCAAACTGAACTTTAACCTTTATAATCTTTATCTAAGTGAACCTTAACTTTTACTTCTTAAAAGCTATCAGTTAAATTAGTCATTAATTAAAATAATCAATTAATAAATGTATAGAAATGATCGATTCAAGGTTAGAAAAAAGTTAGATTAGTCATCAATTAAAAAATAATTAATTAAAAATTATAGAAATGATCGATTAAAAGTTAGTAAAAAAAAGTTAAAAACTTAAGTCAACCAAAACATAATGTATATTTTATTGGATGCTAATATGTCCACCTTTTAAATGAATAACTTTTAACCATTTCACCTGCTAACCTCTGACCTTTGTTACTTTGCTAACCTGTGGTAACCTCTGACCTTTGTTTACAGTACAATCTATTGGTATCCTGAATTTCATTAATATAGCTTATCAGATAATAAATGATAATGATAAATTACTTGAAATGCATCTATGAAACTATCAAACAAAAAAAAATTATTCAAATAAATTTAATTTTCTAAATTTTTATCAATAATTTAAATTTCGAATGATTTATTTGTCGTCTAATTACCTTAAATTTAAGAAAATATTCCAAATCAAAGGAATTTGATAAGATTAAATCTAATGGATTGCAATGAAATTATGATTTTAATGATAATGATAATTAATCATTAATTAATTCTTTAAGCAATCTTTGATAAAAAATACCCCATCAGACCTTACTTACTTAAATAATTTAATTTAAATTAATAAATGATACAATAAAACTAAGAAAAAAATAAACAATAAAAATTTTTGATTTGGAAAAAATCAAAAGGCAAAAAAAAAAATTTTCTTATATAAGAGAAAAAATATGAAAATTAGCAGCAAAAAAAAAAAAAAAAATAAAATGAAATCTTTCAAAAACAAGTTCGAAAAAATTGAACTTCTCATTTTCTTTCTTTTTTAAATGACAAATAGAAAACTAAAATTGAAAATTAAGAGAATTGTGACAATTTTACAAATGAAAATAAAAAGAATCAGAATAGATAGCAATCAAATATAGAAAACATTCAAAAATTTTAATTTCAAAAACTGTCAATTTAATTTAAATTCAAATTAGTTGTAAATAATTTAGACCATACTTAAATAATTTAAATTACTCATTGATACAATAAAACTAAGGAAAAAAAAATAAAAATTTTTGTTTTAAAAATAATCAAATATTAGAAATGCATATGCTTAAATCAAATGTTCAAAATTTGATATTAAATAAAAATATCGAGCAAATGAGACAAATTCCACTCATTCAATTAAATTTTGATAGAATATTATAAATGAGAGTAATTATTAATTACTACTTATTTAGTTGCCTTAAGTAAATTATTAATTTACTTAAATTTACCTTTTAATTTACTTTTTGTTTTACTTTTTCTTAAGTTACTTTTTAAATTCATAAAAAAGTTTTTTTTTTTTTTTTTAAAAAAAAAAGAGAATTTGTAGGAAAAATAATAAATTAGCAAAATATACTTAAACTTTATAAATTTCATTAAAAAATTTGTAGGAAAAGTAATATATTAACTAAATATGGGTTTGTATATATATATATTTATAAAAGATAAATATTGAATTTTCTCTTTTTTTTTTTCTTTTCTTTTCTCTTTTTTTTGTTTGTATAACTAAATTTTAAATAATCTTTCAAAAAGAAAAAAAAAAGAGAAAAAATGATTGATTTCACAAATGGAAAAGAAAAATATTTTACATATGCATTGAAATTTTTAGTGAATTTCAACAAAAAAAAAAGAAAAGAAACAAAACAAAAATAAAAGAAAATATTTTGTTTTAAAAACTAAAATTCATTTTTATTACTATGAAAGAATTTCAAATCAGATTGAATTAATTTAATATAAAAAGTTTGTTAAATAATAAATTCCAAAAAAAAAAAGCAGATCATTGATAAGAAAATGATAGATTAACTAACAGATAATTTATAATTGAATTGTAAATTAAAAAATGAAAACAAAACTATATGATGAATTGTATTGATATCTCAGATATTAGATTTTGGGAAAATATAACAGAATGTTATCACATTCAGGAAATACGTTAGCATGATAAGATAATCATCGTTATCAGTTATCAGATCCGGAAAGAATGCAACAAGACGGTGTGAGGTTCGGTGAGAATGCAACAGGATGGTATAAAATCCGGTGAGAATGCGATAAGATAGGATCAAATTCCGTGAGAATGT